TCTTCTTCTTCTTCTTCTTCTTCTTCTTCTTCTTCTTCTTCTTCTTCTTCTTCTCCTCTTCTTCTTCCTCCTCCTCCTCCTTCTTCTTCTTAAGACAGGGTATCTCTATTCAGCCCTGGAAGTCTTGGAACTCACTATACAGACCAGGCTGTCCTTGAACTCACAGAGATCTGTCAGCCTCTGCCTCTCAAGTGCTGAGATTAAAGGCTCATACTACTATGCTTGGCTATTTCTATTATTTTTAATAATGTGACATCAGGCAGTGGTGGCGCACGCCTTTAATCCCAGCGCTCAAGAGGCAGAGGCTGGTGGATCTCTATGAGTTGAAGGCCAGTCTGGGCTATACAATAAAACTCTGTCTCACTCCCACCCCTAAACCCCCAATAATGTGCATGTGTGTGAATACGTGTACAGTGAGACACAGGTACCTCAGAGTCCAGAAGAGGGTCCTGGAGTTACATGCAGCTGTGAGCCACCTGACATGGGTTCTGGGAACCAAACATGGGTTCTCTGAAAGAATAGTACATACTCCTAACTGCTGGGCTTTCTTTCCAGCCCTCGTGAGAGAGATTTTCAAGACAGGTCTCTCTATGTAGCTCAGTCTGGCCTCTAACTCTTGATTCTCCTGCATCAGCCTTCCCAGTCCTGGGGTGACCGGCAGGCTCACCACACCTGACTTGGGGTGTTTGGAGCAGGAACATTGATCTTGGGGAGCAGTCAGAGCACTAGGGACTGAAGCAGACTAATGAGTGTAAACCTCCCGAGGGACCACAGTTGTATGTTCCAATAAGAGACTTTTGCCAGTGGTCCAGACCAACATGGCCGGTGATTTCTCCTCATTTAGTGCAAAAGGGTGTGTGTGTGTGGGGGGGGTCTGCTGCTACTTCTAGGTGTTACTCCATTTTGTCCTTTCCCTATCTAGACTATAGGGACTTGGGGTTGGTAGTAGACTATTACTATAGGCACTCGGGTGTGGCTCAGTTGGTAGAGCACTTGCCTAGCATGCACGAGGCCCCAAGTTCAGGTCTTGCCACTAGATAAAGTAAGCATGGTAGCACACATGATCCCAGCACTCAGGAGCTGGAGGCAGGAGGATCACAAGTTTGAAGTCATCCCTTCTATGCCTGTGCAGGTGGGTGGAGGCGTGCACGCCACAGTGTGTGTATGGAGGTCAGAGGGCAACCTGTGTGAATCGGTTCTCTCCTTCCACCAGGGTCAAGCTCAGGTTGTTGGACTCGGAGGCAAGCACCTTTACCTGGTGAGCCATCTCCCCAGCCAAAGAAAGATCCTATCTAATTTATTACTAATTAACCAGGGATTATAGTGAAATGTCATGAGCAGGGCACAGAGCCCTTGAGCTCGGAGACTTGTAGGCTGTTAGGGCAACGTGGCTGGGTTCAATTTGAAAAGATGGCCAGTGTCCAACAGCCCATGAATCCTAGCCAGACGTTGACTTCATCTTTCCTAGACGAAACTTTCAAGTTAATGAGTGACTTCAGCGTGTCTGGGACTTTTAAAAATAAGATGTGTGTGTATTCGTGCATGGTTGTGTTCATGTGTGTGCATGTGTGTGTGTGTGTTTGTGTGTGTGTTTCTGCCACTGTGCTGTTTAAGCTTCTGGCCAATTCTCCTGTCTTTCTCGCCCATGCCCATCCTGGAGTGTTGGGATTACAAGCGAGTCACCCAAATCTAGCTTTTTACATGGGGTTTGGAGATCAAACTCAGGCTTGCTTTGTAGTATACAAGAGACCCTTTCAGGGGAGCTGCAACATATATGCAACCCCCCCACACACATACACACGCACACACAGACACACACACCACACATGCATATGTAGGCCACATACACACACACACATGCATATGTGTACCACATGTATATATACACACACCCCACACATATGCACATGCACACACACACATACGCACACCATGCATGCATGCATACACACAGAGCTACTAGCTGTATGCAGGGAATCCATGACAGACCAAGGTCCAAATGGTTGAACCAATGAGTTTTTTTTTTTTTTTTTTTTTGGTTTTTCGAGACAGGGTTTCTCTGAGTAGCCCTGGCTGTCCTGGAACTCACTCTGTAGACCAGGCTAGCCTCGAACTCTCGAACTCAGAAATCCGCCTGCCTCTGCCTCCCAAGTGCTGGGATTAAAGGCGTGCGCCACCACCGCCCGGCGAACCAATGAGTTTTTATTGGGGGTTCCTAACAGGAGTAGGGGCGCTGAGTTACAGGAGCTGGATGACCCAGAAGCAGCTGTATCAGCAAAGTGCCCTCCCTGACTCATAAACACTGCAACTCTGGGGCGCTGCACAGTTTACAGGCAGCTCTGTAGTCCAAGAATCTCGTCTCTGCCGCGGGCTGGTCACTGTCTCCTCCCACACAGGTCAGGTTGTTTACTTATTCTGCAAAGCTGGGAAGGCTCCCTCCAGAGTCATACAAGTTCCAGCTTCCCTAGACATGTGACTTATGCCAGAGGAGTCTCCTGACTCCTCTGTCTCCTGGAAGGAATGTTTAGATTCAGAGGCAATTGCTTCACAACATACTGCAAGAACTTTTACCCTACTAAGCTGTCTCCTGACCCGAGACTAGACCTTTTTCATCAACGAGGAGAGCCTGGTTTACATATCGAGTTCCAGGCTAGCCAGGGCTTCATAGTGAAATCCTGTCTTAAAAACCAAAAAGAAAACAGCGACATGTGACCGGTCCACTGCCCTGGTTTGGACAATTCATGGCCATTCTTCACCTCTGGATGGTCATATAGCCAGAATGTGATCTTGCCTTTTTGACTGATTCTCGATTCAGATCATGTTTCTGGTGATTATAATTTCCCCATGTTTCTTGATGTATGAAAGGGATGGTCGGCTTGACCTTGGTTCTTTCTAAAGGTGAAGACAGGGTGTAGGTTAAACACATGAGCCTCTTTGGATTTAACATGTAAAATCATCGCCTAGGCCAAAACTAGTTTCTGTCTAGAAATTTCCATATGGAATTTAGAAATTCAAAATAGCTTGAACTTCTCCACACCCCCCAACCTTACCCCCACCCACCCCCCAGCATTTTTTCTGTGTAGCCCTGGCTGTCTGGGAACTCACTCTATAGACCAGGCTAGCCTTGAACTCATAGAGGTCCACCAGCCTTGGCCTCCTGGGTGCTGGGATTAAAGGCGTGAGACAGCTCAGCTGGGCATGGAGGTTGGGTTTTGAAAGCCTGCATTGGGGATTGCTTCTGTTGGATGACCGACTGGCTGTTTTTGTTCTCTTTCTTTGCCACAGCAGTGAGAACTTGAAATGAAACCTGATACAAAGAAACAGCTTAAGGGAGAAAGGGTTTTGGTTTTATTTTTGGCTCACAATCCCTTGGGTGGGGACAGATTGGAGGCAGGAGGGTGAGGTAGATGGATAGATACAATGTGTCCGCAGTCAGGAAGCAGAGAGACATTGGCGCTCAACTTCTTTTTCATTCAGCCCAGCACTCCCAACACGGGACAGTACTACCCACATTTCAGGTGGGCCTCTCCTCCTGGCTAACCCGACTGGGAAGTCCCTCACAGAAATACCCAGAGTGATTCTCAACCTAGTCACATGTTTAACGATTAGCCGTTCGGCTTTCCTGAGACTGAAAGGGCACCTGGAATGTGGGACCTTGAGTGTGTCCCTAATTCTGAGACAGCTTGTCAACCTTCATCCAACCTCAGGCTACAAACCCAGCTCCAGCAGGTGGACATTCTCCAGGAGTTGACCAGTTTTTCTGCCTGGAAATGGCCTTCCTTATTCCCCAACTCTAGGCCTCCTGAGAGGGTTTCACAGCGTTAGTTCCAAGGCTATCCCTGAAAGCCAGCTTGTCATAGTTGATTACATATTATTATATAAAAATGATACCCCAGTTAGGTTCTGGGTTATATGATTGATTTATCCAGTTCTATCCTGGTAAAATAGGAAGGCAGACTCCTTTGAACCTGTGCAAAACACACACACACACACACACACACCAAAAAACAAAAGCAAAAACCTAGAATGTTCTGGATTGTAAGGTGATAGTGTAAACATATTACTTTAAGAACCTCCTATGAAGGGCAGTGAGATTCAAATGTCACTTCACTTCAGTCTCCCAAAGACTGAAGGCGCACCTGAAATGTACAGTTTGAGCCTAAAACAGGAAGTCCTAGCCAGACAGCCTGCTTAGAACAAGGTCTTATCAGGAGAAACTTAGCCTAGGATTACAAAGACCTGGGTAACAGAGGCAGGGGGATCTCAAGTTCAAAAACAGGATGTGCTACATAGCCAGTCTGGGCTGTAATGAAATAGAGAAATCCTGTGTCCAAAAATCAATCGGGGAGGGTTTGGGGACGTTAGAAGAATGCTTGTGCCGGGCAGTGATGGCGCACGTCTTTAATCCCAGTGCTTGGGAGGCAGAGGCAGGCGGATTTCTGAGTTCGAGGCCAGCCTGGTCTACAGAGTGAGTTCCAGGACAGCCAGGGCTACACAGAGAAACCCTGTCTCAAAAGCCCCCCCCCCCAAAAAAAAAGAAAGAAAGAAAAAAAAAAGAATGCTTGTTACACAGAGAGTTCAAGACCAGCCTGGGCTAAATAAGACCTTGTCTCAAAAACAACACCAAACCCCAACCCTACTGGAGAGATCAGTGATGTCCCCAGCACACAGGCACAGCTCCACAGCCTAGAGTTTTCCTATCGGCACCGCATGGTCCCTTCTTGTTCTACCCGATGTCCTGGAAGCCCCCAGTCCACCAATGTGAAGGTCACCCAAGGCCAGCTTGGAAGCCACACCCACATGAAGAGCCTGGAACAGTCCTTTTTCTCCAGGCTTGGCCTTGGCTTTCATGGTTTGAAGACACAAGCTGGGTCCTGCAGCTAATAGCAGGGCCTCCAGGCCAAGGAGGGGAAGCAGGGTCTGTGAGCACCAGGAAGCCTGTGTGAGTTTCTCACCTTAGTGGATCCTTCTACAGGGTAACAGTAGGCTTGCAAGGTAGATCCCTTGGAGACAAGAAGAGGGTGTGGATGGTAAAATTTTCCAGAACACTCTAGAACCTTGTCACAAGGCAGGGGAGATGCCCCGTAACAGCCCGGTTCCTGTGACCTCATAGTCTGGGGAAGACAGAATCTCTTGATATGATGGTTGTACCTATGGTGTGTTCTCTTTTTTGTTTTTTAGTTTTGTTTGGGGATGCAGGCTCATGTAGCCCAGGCTAGCCTCTATCTCACTGTGTAGCTGAGGCTGCCCTGGAGTTCTGGTCTTCCTGCCTCTGCGAATGGAATACTCGAATTACAGGCATCACCATGCAGCTTATGGGGTGCTGGGGACTGAACCCAGAACTTTGTGCAAATGTCTATCCCCTGCATAGCACCCACAGCGTAACTTCTTAACAATTGTTATTGCTGATATTATTATTATCATTATTGTGTGTGTAGGATGTATATGTGTGAGCGATGACACACACACACACACACACACACACACGTCAAGATGCACTGGTGGAGGTCAGAGGTCAATTTTTAGGAGTTGGTCTTCTCTTTCTACTGTCAGTTCTGGGCACGGAACTCAGGGTACGAGGCTTGCCTGGCAAGCGCTATAACTGGTTGAGCAATCTTACCAGCCTTTCTTTTTTTGATTTTTCCCCCCCTTTTAGATAGGTGGCATCTTGCTGTATAGCTGAGGGTACACTCGAATTCACAGCAATCCTCCTGCCTCAGCTTCCCAAATGGTGAGATTACAGGCGTGTACCAGAGTACTCTGCTAAAGATAAAAATGAGAGAGAGAAAGAGAGAGAGAGAGAGAATAGGAACACGATGTATATGCAAATAATCAGAGGAGAAGGTAATATGGGTGTAAGAGCATTCAGCTCTTTCCTAAGGGAGGTGCCTCTGCTTCTTTTGTTTTTAAAGATTAGAACGTGGTGGGAAGGACTGGGGAACAGCTCAGTAGTTAAGAGCGTGTATCACTCACTGAGAGGACTCAGTTTGATCCCCAATGCCAGTGTCAGGTGGCTCACAACCTCCCCTTGCTGCAGCTCCAGGGGTCTGATGGCTCTGGCCTCTGAGGGCTCAGTGTATACAGGACTTTGCTACACAAACCTGGTGACCTGAGTTTGAACCCAGATCATACATAAAAGTGGAGGAAGAGTTGGGGAGTAGTCCATGCCTGTCCTCCTAAGGTCACTGTTGCTGGGATATAACACCAGGTCCATCAAGCAACCTGGGGGAAAATGGGTTTGTCTGGGTTACACTTCCACATCACTGTTCATCACTGAAGGAAGTCAGGACAGGAACTCAAACATGGTAGGCACTTGGAGGCAGGAGCCGATGCAGAAGGAATGGAGGGACGCTGCTTACTGGCTTGCTCCTCATGGCTTGCTCAGCCTGCTTTCTTACAGAACCCAGGACCACCAGCCTAGGGATGGCACCACCCATAGTGGGCAGGCCCTCCCCCATCAATCATTAATTAAGAAAATGCCCCACAGGCTTGCCTGAGGCCTGATCTTATGGAGGCATTTTCTCAATCAAAGTTCCTTCTTTCAAATTTGTGTGACAAGTTGACATAAAACAGCACACCTGTAATGCCAGCACTTGGAAGACGGAGGTGGGAGGCTCAGAAATTCAGGGTCATCCTTGGCTACATGGTGACTCTGAGGCCAGCCTAGGCTACAAGAGAGCCCATCTTGAAAAACCAAACCTGCCGGGTGGTGGTGGCGGTGCACGCCTTTAATCCCAGCACTTGGGAGGCAGAGGCAGGCAGATTTCTGAGTTTGAGGCCAGCCTGGTCTACAGAGTGAGTTCCAGGACAGCCAGGGCTACACAGAGAAACCCTGTCTCAAAAAAAACCAAACCAAACCAAACAAACAAACAAAAAAAAACCAAACCCAACAGCAACAAAGCCCCTAAGCTCTGCCACACTTAGCTTCTCCAGAGCCAAGCAGCCCTGGGGCTCAGAAGTCCAAGGTACATCAGCCTTTAGACTTGACACTCTGGGTGAGAGAGTGCGCAGGGCCCTGCACCTTCTGAGGATCATAAGGGGATGATTGCTCAGAAAGGTAAAATCATGACCTATAGGCACATACAAAGCAGACTCGTGTTAAAGTGGATGCCTTTTCTTTTTCATGCTAGGTGAGCGCTCTATCGTGAAGCCACAGAGCCCGAGCCCTCAGAGATTTTATTTAACATGTTAATTAGCGTTATGAATGGTTCAAAGAGCACTTTAAAAAGTTGGGCAACTTAACAAAGACAGATTAGAACCAGATTGCAGAGTTAGGAGGGGTTTTTTTTCCTCCTTTTTTTTTTTTTTTTTTTTTTATAGCTAGTGAAAGTCTACCAGGCCATAAATCCTGGAGTTATCTGTTTCATCAGACAGAAATTATCTCCGATGTTCCTGAATAGACTCTGCAAGTTATGTGACTCTGCCTTAATCAGTTCTGTGAGGTGCATTAGCTGCACGCTCTGGGGGCTAACTCATGCTTCTTAAAGTTTCTCCGCTTGGCCCTTTTTCACCGGAGAAACATTTTACAATATCTGGGGATATAGGTCCATAAAATAGGCGTGTGCATCAAACATTTACAGAGATACATTTGGAGTCCCAGCCCCAGGGGAGGCAGGGATATGCAGGTCCTCAGGGCTTGGCAGCCAGCGTAGAGTACTTGGAGAACTCCAGAACAGTCAGAGACTTTCAAAAGACACAGGCCAGTGAGGGCTGGAGCCTGCAGAGGCCAGAATACAGAGTTAGATCTCCCGGCATGAGAGTTACAGGCAGCTTACAGCTGGGAACCAAATTCAGGTTTTCTTTTTTCTTTCTTTCTTTTTTTTTTTTTTTTTAGTTTTTTGAGACAGGGTTTCTCTGTGTAGCCCTGGCTGTCCTGGAACTCACTCTGTAGACCAGGGTAGCCTTGAACTCGGAAATCTGCCTGCCTCTGCCTCCCAAGTGCTGGGACTAAAGGCTTGGGCCACCACTGCCCGGGGAAATTCAGATTTTCTAAAAGAACAATTCAGACTCTTACCCACTAAGACATCTCTCCTGCGCACGGCAGCATATCTATCTATCTATCTATCTATCTATCTATCTATCTATCTATCTATCTATCTGAGACAGGATTTCTCAGTGTAGCTCTGGCTCTCCTGGAACTTACTCTGTAGACCAGGCTGGTTTCAAACTCAAGAGCTCCATTTGCCTCTGCCTCTCTGCCTCTCTGCCTCTCTGCCTCTCTGCCTCTCTGCCTCTCTGCCTCTCTGTCTCTCTCTCTGCCTCTCTCCCTCTCTCTCTCTCTCTCTCTCTGCCTTTCTGCCTCTCTCTCTGCCTCTCTGCCTCTCTGCCTCTCTCTCTCTCTGCCTCTCTGCCTCTCTCTCTGCCTCTCTGCCTCTGCCTCGAGTGCTGAGATTAAAGGCGTGGGCCATCTCTGCTTAACTTCACAGTAGCAATTGTTAAAATGAAACATTCTAACAGAAAACAATCCAGACACACAGATGGGTTAAATGGAGAGCACTACTAGGAAAATCCGGAATGTCTTTAGTTAAAACATAGTTATAGCTTTCTCCTTTCTTTCTTTCTTCCTTCATTTCTTTCTTTCTTTTGGGGGCAGCTAGTAGTTGTTGAAACAGTGTCTCTCTGTGTAGCATAAGCTGTCCAGGAACTCATTATGTAGACCAGGCTGGCCTCAACCACATAGAGATTCACTAGCCTCTGCCTTCAGAGTGCTGGGCTCAAAGGTGTGGGCTATCTCACTCTGCTCATCATGGTTTTTCCAATGGCAGAAAACTTCAACTTAGGTGGCCTCAACTCTGAGCATTTTGGGAGGTGTTCACTGCCGTCAAGTGACATGATCACACCCATTGTGTGTCCAGAACTGTGGCCTTAGTGATGTTACATGGTGCAGCACAGCAAGCCCCTCCGGGAAACATCTAGGACTCTGAATGTGCGATTTCAAATGACCGTGGTCTTTCTGATACCCCCTCGTTCAGTTACGCAACCCAAGAGCAACAGTTAGAAAAGCTTGCACGTCATTGTCCCTGGATCACACTGGAAGGATCCAGGATCTTCCTGTCCACTGTGGTGTATTATTACAAGTGTCAGATGGCTAGCTGGCATGATGCTACACATCTGATCCCAGCACTCTGGAAGCAGAAGCAGGGGGATCTCCGTGAGTTCGAGAACAGCTTGGTCTGTATAGTTAGTTTCAGCAAACAGACAACTAAACCTCAGATGGCATTTGAAGCCATCCTACTAAAGGCTAGAGGAACAACATAAGTCCATATTTGGTGACTTGGAGCCTGCTGAGGAGCCTGCTGAAGGACGCCTAATGTGGTGTGGGCAACTGCAGGCCGGGCTCCAGGTCAGGCAGGCCCTGAGCAAGTGACCCTGCTCCTGAGACAAAGGAAAGCAGGGTGGCTGAAGACAGACGCGTCCTGTCTCTCGCCCAGCCCACAGTCCTTCCTGTAGGAACAACTCACTATGCTTTCCTTTCAGGAGGCCAGGTTCAGCTTCCTGGGTGGCGAGGACCCGCAGATGATATTCGACTGGGTGGATGTCCAGAGTAGGGGCCGCCTGTCGCTGGAAGAATTCAGCCTTGGACTCAGTATGTCTGTCCTGGGAGGGTCCTGGGGGGTTCTAGCACACTATTGGACTCAAAGAATCTCTAGACATCTCTGGGCCTCAGGTGATGTGTGAAACGGGCACTCCCAACTTAGGAGACTGCTAAGGCTGATCTGAGGCATACAGGACTCTGTCCCTGTTTAAATGTAGGGGGTGAGGCTTAAGGGAAGTCAGAGGCTCGTTTTCCCTCGGTTACCTTCTGTCTCTCCAGAAAACATCTTTGGCTCCAGCCCCGGTACCCACAGACTCCGCACAAAGCGGTCATTGCCCTCTCAACGGGTATCTGTGACCTCCAGCTTCCCTGTCCTCGAGGAGGCCAATGCTGAGGAGAAGGAGGCCTTCCTGGCCCTTGTAGGGCAGATGGAGACCGGCCACTCCTTTTCTGAGTAAGGCCCTGGTGGGGGTGAGGGCTTAGGGTAGGACTGGGTGCAGACACACCTCAGCTTGGCCACTTGATAGTGTTTGACCTCTGACCTCTGTTCCTGGCTACAGCATATCCTTTAAAGCTGCAGAGAGATTGAAGACATGTACAAAGACTGCCTGGAGGGTCCCCTCACCCCACACTCCCTATAAAGATCAACCAGTTGAAGTATCACCTCTGAGGGGGACCTGGAGACTCCCTAAGGGTCCCTCAGTAGTGTGACTTCAGACATGGTGGTGTCCTGGGCTGGGTGGTTTTGAGCTAGGAGATTAATTCCTGCCGCGTGCCTTGGGCATAGGCTCTGGGTGTATGGGAGTTCTGTGTGTTGAGAAGAGGGGAGAGGGGACCCTTCCTGAGGCTGGCTAGTGCCAGCCAGGGACTTGCCCTCACCCACACTCTCCTGCTTGCCCCTCCACCCACAGGCCTCCGAAGGATGAGATTGCTCTCATCTGGCTCCAGGGTGGGGCTGCTGCTGTGGGCCAGGCTGGGAGGGACCTGGGGTGTAGGCTGGCAGAACAGGTGGAGCAGGGAGCCATTTACCCACTTGGCAGCTTGGCCCCGCTCCCTCGCCCTCTGGGCCTCTGTCTTCATGACTTAATTAAGTCCATGTGAAAGTAGCATGCACTGGGTGCCAACCGTGGGCAGGGCCCCGGGCTGGCACTTACGCTGAGTGTTTCTCTCCTTCTCCCTAAACAATCTTGCTTGACAAGTATTGGCTTTTGCATTTTCCCAGTGAGTCCAGGGAGGGTAAAGGCTTGCTAGAAACCACACAACTCCAGAATGGGAGGAGAGCGGGGGCGGGGGTGGGGGGGAAGTGGGCAGACGGAAGCCTCGAGCTGTCAGACTCCCAAGTCACCCCTTTACCCCCACACCCTCATTAGCCACTGACTTACAGGGAAACATGTCGTATGAGGGGGGGAGGCGGGTTCAAGAAGGGCAGCTCACATATAGAAATGTCCCAGAAAGAGGGGACACTTGAGCTAAGCTTTGAAGTATCGTTAGAAGAATTTTGTGACTCAGGTCTCCAAGTGTCTGGGTGTGTTGGTGTTAAAACGGAAGACTATGGCTAGGGATATGGCTTAGCTTGCGGAGTACCAGCATACACAAATCTCTCTGTGGGATCCGTCCACAGAACCACCATAAAATGGGATATAGTAATCCTAGCCTTTGGGAGGAGACGAAAGCAGAAGAATCAAGGCTATCCTTTGCTACACAGCAGGTGTGAAGTTAGCCTGGGCTACACACAGGAACCCTCTTGCTTCCTAGCCCTCTTGTGTCTAATCTCTGGAGGTTCCCCTGCTCCAGGCAGGCTGAGATCTGGAAGCTGTGGAGAGAGTTGCGGCAGGAGGAGCCCCAGTTGGCAGGAAACTTGGAGGGCTTCCTGGCCAAGATGAGCAGCCGCCTGCAGGAGGCTCGGGCTGACCGGGAGGCACTGGCATGGACCCTGAGAAAGTGAGCGGGGACATAGCAGGTGTTCTTTGCCTGCTGTGGAATCCTAGGTCCTGTACAAAGGGTGCCTGGATGGTCCCCTTGCTCAATACTACCTAGAAAGATCAACCGGTTTGAGCATCACCTCTCAGGGGGACCTGGAGAAGCCCTTCTGAAGTGACAGGGAGCTGGGAAGCAGAGAGAAGTTTGAAGAGGAAGAAACTCCGGGGGGGGAGGGGGTGTCTGTTTTGTGACCCTGTAACTGTCAGAGTCACAGCCCTGTCACTGGAGCTTGAGTCATGGAGTCCAAGATGGTGACTGAGGCTTGGGGTAATGGGGACCATAGATAGGGCCAGGGGTGGGAGTGGGGATTTCATAGACCCCAGGTGACAGGACAGGGGTCTGAGGTGGCCGAGGGCAAGAGAGGCAGGAGGGCTCCAGGCATCAAGTTCCAGAGAACCCAGCAGCTTTCTGGTGCTCACCTCCTGTCCCTGTAGGCGAGACTCTGACCATCTCCACAAGGTGAGACAGCTCTACGAGGAGACAGAGGAGCAGATCTGCAGGGAGAAGCAGCAGCTGCAGGCCCAGGTGAAGCCAGTGATGAATGCTTCTCCAGGCTAAGTAGTGGCTTAGTCGTAGGAAGGGCATCAGAAAGTGATGCGAGCCTCCTCTCCTGTAGCTTATGCTCCCAGAGAGATGGGGTGGACCTGCCGGGCATGTGTTCTCTACAAGATATCAATATTCCCCAGGACTGACTTCCGTGTCTTAGCTTCAGTGTCCTTGTGAGAGTCTAGGCCCAAGTAGGGGAATCCCCAAAGTCCTCTTTGTGGGTACCTTCCAGGCCCCTGAACCCCAAGCCAGGGTGGAGGTAAGATACGTTGGACCTCAGCTAAGCTGGCTCTGGAGACTGCAGGGCAGGGCTGACCAGTTTTCTCTGCAGAGTGACTCCCGGGACATGGCCCTCAGTGCCCACATGCAAGAGGCTCTAGAGGCCAAGGAACAAGAGGTTCAGCGGCTTGCAGAGGGCCAGAGAGAGGTGAGTACAGGCCTTCTGAAGAACTCAGACCCCAGAACCTTTTTCACTGTTCCCAGATGGACAGGTCCCCTGAAGCCACAGGCAGCCAAGAACTCCCAGGGCTGCTGGCTACTAGATCGGGACTCTCTTCCCAGTGCCCTGGTAACACTGCCATGGGTCAGATGAGGTCCCATAAAGGGCCAGGCAGACCCAGGGAAATGAGTGGGGAGCTTACACTACCCTCAGGTTTTCAGTGGCCATGAAAAGAAGGTGTCTGGTGCATGCCTTTAATCCCAGCACTTGGGAGGCAGAGGCAGGCGGATTTCTGAGTTCGAGGCCAGCCTGGTCTACAGAGTGAGTTCCAGGACAGCCAGGGCTACACAGAGAAACCCTGTCTCAAACAAACAAACAAACAAACAAACAAACAAAACAAAAAACAAAAAAAAAAAGAAAAGAAAAGAAAGAAAGAAAAGAAGGTGTCTACCTCCGTGTCATTTCCCAGGCCTCATGTGTCAAGTGAGGTTGTGTATGGGGACACAAAAGGCAAAAGTTTGGACAGGCTGGGTATGTGACATGTGCTGTAACTCCTTCTCTTGGAGTGGAGGTAGGAGAATCAGGAGTTCAAGGCTAGCCTGGGCCGTGTGAGACCCAGAAGGGGGCAAGATGGGGAGAAAGAAAGGAAAGTTCTAGACAACAGGCTTCCTTGTCATCTGAGAAACCTTGGGCAGGTTCTTAACATATCAGAGCCTGCTGGGGGGTGGGGAGGCTGAGGACCCATGGCTGCTTTAGAGGCTCTCTGCTCTGTGGGGTCTGGCTGTCGGAACCTTCTGAATTATCTTTGGGTCAGAAGCCCCTGCAGTCCAGATGGAGTCAGGAAGGGCAGCTGATGCAGGGCTTGGCCCTGGGTGGGTGTGGCCCTGGGTGGGTGTGGCCCTGGGTGGGTGTGGCCCTGGGTAGGTGTGGCCCTGGGTAGGTGTGCCTGAGGAGCTCTTGTCCCCTGATCATGGTATCCTTCCCATATATCACAGGTCTCACTGTGGGGGCGTTTAAGGCAGCTAATTAGATGCCTGAAGGGTGACCTCCCCTCCAATCGTACCATTTAAGCTGGGTCTCCAGGACCTGGGCAGTGGGAGCAGGGGACAGGGCATCCTTGTCTCACCAAAGTCTTAGAGGATTTTGGCCAATCCTCTCCTCTCTTCCACCCTCCACAGCTGGAGGCTCAGATCCTCCATCTCAGCAGCACACAGCAGGAGGCCAGCTGGGAGAACCTGCAGCTCCGGGAGGCTGAGCGTGACCTGGCTGGGCAGCTAGAAGAGGTGCGGGGACAGCTGCAGGTGACAAGAGGACACTTGGATACTGCCAGGACCAGGGGCCGAGTATCCTGGCAGATAGAAGAAGAGCCAAGGCAAGTGACCTCCCTCTCTGGACGAGGGTGGAAAGCACTGACTCCTAGGAGCCAGGAAAGGGTGTTCTCCATGGAGCTGGTTAGATCTCTGTGTGCGGATATGCACACACACACAGACACAGACACACACACACACAGACACACACACAGACACACACAGACACACACAGACACAGACACACACAGACACACACACACATACATAGACACAAGCACACACAGACACAGACACGCACAGACACACAGACACATACAAACACAGACACACACAGACACACAGACACATACAAACACAGACACACACAGACACATAGACACATACAAACACAGACACACACAGACACAGTCACACACAGACACACACAGATACAGACCACACAGACATACACAGACATATATACATACATATTCACAAACATACAGACAGACACATAGGCAGACACATAGGCAGACAGACACAGACACACACACAGACACATACACACACATACATACACATAATATCTCTCACACACAGACATGCATACAGATGTAGACACACACACACACATATAGACAGACACACATAGATGCATATACACACATACAGACAGACATAGACACATATACATACATACATACAGACAGAAACAAACACAAACACATATCTCATACATGCAGGGGTACATACAGTCACAGACATATACAGACACATACATAGACAGTCAGACAGACACACAGGCACATACACACACAGCTCCTAATCAGTCAGGCACTTGTTCTGTTTGAAACAGCTCAGAGGTAAGAAGGCTTGCTTGGTCAGGGCAGGCTTCCAGGAGGAGGTGAGGCTTCATATGGATTTTGAGGTACAGAGTGGGACAGGAGCATTTTTCAGCCATCCTTGGAGAAAAGCTAGCCACAGGAGGGGTTATGTTACCAGGATTTGGGGGATGCCACTAACTGGTACTCTCCCGACCTTCACTTTTCCCCTTTCTTCCCAGTGTCCCCAGGGCAAATAAGGAAGCCCCAGACCCTCAGGCTGTCCCCACAGAGGAGGCCCCACTGCCTGAGCTGTTTGGGGAGAATGATGACTGGAACCAGCTCCTCAGCAGCTTTGAAGACCGTTCCCACAGCACCCTGCGGCTTTGCTGGAGCCCACCCTCAACCCCAAGTAGCACCTCCGCTCCCCAGACCCCACGCGTTGTTAGACAGATCTCCATTTCCAAGGTGTCTGCTCTACAGTTTTCTCAGGAACCGGTCTCAGATGGAGACCCAGAGGCGTCCCCTGGTGGTGGCAGAGAAAGAAAAGGGGTGGAGGACCCCAAGGGGCAGGATGGACAGGATATCAGTTCTAAGCAGCCTGTGGACTCCCCTGACTTAGATACCAGACCCAAGGGTCCCTTCCTCTGGGGTTTGCCAAGAGCTCTGCCTGAGGAGTCTGGGAATGTTGAGGCAGCTTTTAGAGTTCTGTTTGCTTCTGAGGCTGAGCCTCCTCCTCAGGGGCTCTCTTCTCCTCCTCGGTCCCCAACTGAGTCCAGAAAACAGACCCAGACTCCAGATCTGGGTGACAGGAGCCTTTGGTCCCCA